TTTTTTTTTTTTTTTTTTTTCTTTTCAATTCATCGAGATTACACACGTTTCGATATAAAGAATTATTTAAAGTATTAAAAAACGTGATTATTAACTGTAAACGTTAATCGATGATGATTAATGTTAATTATCGAAGAATAATATATATATATATATATATATATATATATATATATATATATGTAGGTATACGAAAAGATTATTCGAGGTCAATCGAAATCTGGTTTCAGAGATAACATGCAAGAGAGAGAGAGAGAGAGAGAGATTTTATTATATATAGGACGTCCTGAAGAAACTCAAAAACACGATTGTACACGTACTTACTCACTAACACATACCGATAGTGTCACGAAGAGACGTCTCCGAATCGCCTCTTTGTGTCTGGCAACAGCACAAGACCGCCTACAGCTGTCTGCCAATGCTCTCGGCGACATAGACCCTTGATACGTCCAAGACTCTCCGATTAAATCACCGAACGATCTTGTGATTTTTCAAATTTTATATATATATATATATATATATATATATATATATATATATATATATATATATAAAGAGAAAGAAAAGAAATAGAGGAAAAAAAAGCATGTCGTGAAAGAGACAATTTGTTTCAATTTATTTACGCTGGAATAAAAATTTTAATCCTTTTTGTCTTTCCTTTTCTTTCTTTTTTCCTTTCGGACGGACACATTCGATGGTTCATTCGATATTTCGAATAAAAAAATCATCGTTCAAATAGATACATACGATAAAACATACATGCGATCCTTCTTATTGGAATTCTGTACTCTTTTTTTTTTTTTTTTTTTTTTTTTGTAATTTCTGTACATTTTTTTTCTCTCTTGTTTGTTTGTTTTTTTTTCTTTCTTTTTTTTTATTGAATCAAACGCCCGAAATTTTTCTTTTTTTCGTTCCATAAGAAATATTCATCTTAATCACGCTTAAGGAAAATTTTCGCAATTTTTTGTTTTTCTTCTTCTTCTTTTTATCCTTAGAGTTCCTAGAGACTACTTTTTTTTTTTTTTCGGGATAAGAGAGATCTGTTTTCCTTCTTCTTTCTTTTTTTTTTTTTTTTTTTCTTTTTCTTTTCGATTTACGTTTGAATAATCCGCCCGCTAGAATCCCCATTGTGTGAGTCTATCTGAAGGACAGAAGACTCCGAGAGATTTATTTTATTAAATGTCGCTGACCCATTAAGGGAGTTGTTTTTTTTCTCTCTCCGACACATTCGTATTTCTTAGTTCCCCTCTTTTTCTCTCCTCTAACCCCCTCACCTCTACCTCGTTCACTCGTACGTATCTCGCGCGACTGGAAATCCCGCGTTCGTTCCTCTCACACGCTCCCACTTTTCGTATTTCCTTTCTCTCTCTCTCTCTCTCCCTCTCTCTCTCTCTCTCTCTCTTTCGTTCTATTCCATGAGAGAGAGAGAGAGAGAGAGAGAGAGAGAGAGAGAGAGAGAGAGACATGTGTACATGTTTTCGAGGACACCCGGTATGCTTTCGCCAAAATTCCACAACATTCGAGCGCGAAGCGTCGTTTTCTTAGACACCTTGTTAGACCACATTCCAATCTTTGTCCCTTTCATTCCCTTTGCCCAGTCGGTCAGCTGGTTGTGTTCCTTTTCATAAAAGAAAAATTGATTTACAATGCGTTACTTTTACGCCAATCTTTGGCTCTTTAAAAAAAGAAAGAAAAAAAAAAAGAAAAAAAAAGAAAACATATCTTTGATCCATAATCTCCCCCACCCCTCTTCCATCCTCCCACTCCAGCGCAATTTCTCTCGTAAATATTCTCGAGTGTTTTAAACTGAAAAGAAATAAAGAAAAAAAAAAAAAAAAGGAAGAGAAAAAAAAGAGTAACAAAGAAAACATATCGTTGGAATTAATAAGAAGTAGGTCGATCGAAAGGGCTCTCTTTATTTCGAATGCAAAACGAAAATAATCTCTCTCTCCTTCTCTCTCTTTCTTTCTTTCTCTATCCTGACAATATACTAATCATAAAAAGATTATACAAAAGGGAGACAGAGAGACACAGACAGAGAGAGAGAGAGAGAGAGAGAGAGAGAGAGAGAGAGAGAGAGAGAGAGAGAGAGAGAGAGAGAGAGAGAGAAAGATAGATACAAAAGATATATTTCAGGCTAAGAAACACCGTAAGACGTTTATAATCCTTTTCTTAAGATTCAAAGTGGGTCGCCGATAAAACGTTAGTTCGTGGAAGGGAGGGATCGTGCTTTTTGTTTCTCTTTTCTTTTTTCTTTCACTTTTTCCTTTTTACGAGTGTTGTTACGCAAGTGTTACAATCCACTGCGGTTTCATTCAGAAATCTTTTCAGCCATTCGTCACATCGTAAAAGATAATTTCTATGAAGTAAGGAATTAACGAGGAGAAAAAGAGAGAGAGAGAGAGAGAGAGAGAGAGAGAGTGCGAGTTAAAAGCATTTCCTTTTATTTTCTTTTTTCTTTTTTTCTTTCTATTTCTCTTTTTTCTTCTTTTTTTTTTTTTTTTTTTAAATTGTTGAAGAAGATAAAGCGAAAGAGAATTTCTTTAATGTTTATTACTCGAGACAGAGACGACAAAGAGGAGCTAATGGATCACGTGGGTTCTATTAAAGGGAGAAAAACAAAAAGGGAATGTTCTTGAAAGAGGCGGGTTTATGCGCGCGCAGCCAACCCCACGTGACCAAACGATTTCACGAATTCCTTAGTAACGTAAGGTGTCACCAGAGGACACTGGCGTCGCACGCGTCGCATAGCCGACAAGTATCGAACATTCAGTATTCCTCCGACCGTCCACGTTGACGTATCGCGAGGTCAACGGCTGTTCGTCTCTATTTCTTTCTTATCGTACATGTGTGCACACAGGATAAATAGATAGATATATAGATCTACATGTGTATATATACATATATGTACGTATATATATATATATATATATATACACATATATATATATAACGCGAGTTCTTTCTTTGTGCAATAGAATTAACATTATACGTTTCTACTAACCGTATACGTAACATCGATCTGTGTGTCTCTCTCTCTCTTTCTCTCTTTCTCCTCTCTCTGTCCTTCTCTCCCTTTCCCTCCCCCCCACTCTCTCTCTCTCTCTTTCTCTCTCTCTTTCTCTCCGTCTCTCCGTCTCTCTGTCTTCTTTTTCAATCTGTATAACTATTGAAAATTGACCGATTATGGTGATTATTATGAAATGATCTCGACACGAACGTTATTATTCGAATGTCGAGGTTAGGTCAAACATCGTGGCAACGAATCGAAGAAGAAGACATTTCATACGACGGATTAATTATTTTCCTATTTTACGTGGACCAGAATACTTCTTCGCCGTCTAAATGCGCATTAAAGTGAGTACATATGGTACTGAAAAAAAAGAAAAAAAGAAAAAAAAAAAACTAGAGAAAAAAAACAAAAATCTTTTATTCTCTTTCTCTCTCTCTCTCTTCCTCTCTTCCTCCTTCTCCTCCTTCTTCTCTTTATACTCGATAATAAAAATCCTCACGATTTTGATAGATTGCCAATTGGAATTAATTCGATCACGAAGTGTCTTTCCGTATTTTTCTTTTTCCCCATTCCTTTTTCTTTCTTTCTTTCTTTCTTTCTTTCTTTCTTTCTTTCTTTCTGTTCTTTTTTTTTTTTTTTGCCTTTTATTTTTCTATCGACTCGAAAAAGACAGGAGATATTAATGTATCTTATTAGAGGAATTTTAGGGTCAGAGATCGGAATTCTACTGAATGATATACAAACATACAC